CGGGAGCCCGCGGGTGTCGGCCCGTGTGCGGGGCGGGGGGCGCCCCTCGGCCGGCGTTTGTTCTCTCTGCGCTCACAATAAACGGCGCTTTTGCCAGCAAAATACGGGTCGTGGTAGCGGGGCCGCCGTGCTCCGGCGTGGAGGCTGAGGCGGGAAAAGTGGTGCCTCTGGCAGCCGCAACTCGGAGGGGAAAGCGGGAGCGGGAAACGGGCTCTGATTAAATAAAGTCGCATCGGGCGCTTTGCGAATAAGGCGTCTCTCCCTTGTTTACTTACGGGGTCTTTCATTTTTTAATTGACTGCTTGGCACACGTGCTTTTTATAAAGTGGTGAGGCAGGCTAGACGGGATTGCAGCCTGATTGGTAAGCGGAGAGTGGGAAACGCAGAACGACGTACCCCGAGCCAAACTGTTCAAAGAAGAACAAGTTCGGTTATTATTCATCTCCACGAGGGAAGCCTTATCTTCTACAAATATTTGATGCTGGGACAAGTCCAATAATTAACAGAACAATCAAACAATTTCACTGCCTTCTCCGGGATTTAAAAAGTCATCATCTGGAATTCATGAGCATTACACCCTTTTCTTCTGCTTGGATGCATTACTGCGTGTGATCTTTCCAGTGTGTGTGTGAGTGTGTGTGTCCCTAAATGATTTTACTCTTTGATGCCAAAAGATGCAGCCCATTAAGAGCACTGATAACAGTCACAACTGCTGATTCGGTGAGACCTCAAACCTCTCTGTCAGAGTGGGGAGAGAGGGTCGTAAAAAAGACTGGAAAAGGAAAAAGATGTTTTTGCTTCCTCCCCACCTATATGGTAGAAATTTCCCCCAGGAGGGTGGTGGGGCGGGAAGGGAGCTGTGCAGGTCTAACTCAGTGCGGCTGCCTCGTGCCGCGCTAGCCAGCGCCGCTGAGATGGGAGCCCGGCGAGTGTCAGCCCTTCCCCGCTCAGTCCTGTAACTCCTGCTACAGGAGAGGTGTCAGGGTAAGGAACGGGATGCCTTCATCCTACCACAGCTTTTCTCACCTTTTTCAGGCCTGCGGTGCCCGGGAGCCAGCCCTGCTTTCAGGACCGGCTTGCCACCTGGCCGCAGCAACCCAGGCAGGCCTGACTAGTAATGGCCCGCGACCCACTTGCATCCCGTCCTGATCTCTCATAGAAATCCCCAAACTTGCCTCGTCTTGGTCAAATTCAGATATCTGAAAAGTGTACCTGTGTGTTGAATGGCCAGGTCTCCCACTACGCTGCTAGGCTTTGGACCCATTCAGTTCTGCGTGAGTTCTCCTGCTGGTCATCAAAGTCACGAGTCTTCAGTTCCCACCCTCTTAGCCAGCTGCAAACCCCACTTCTGAGGGCTGGCAACCCTAGACAGTGGCACAAATAATGAAATTGTTGGGTGTGCAGCCCCTTTTCATCTCAGGTAATCCCAAGCCTAGGGAGCTACCACCAGACTTTTGGGCTAGGCAGATAGAAGCATATCTGTCCTCCCCACATGCCCCAGAGCTCTTTTCTCTTGATACAAATCCCACCTATTTTTTCCACATATGCTGCTCTCCCCCGCCTCTTCCTCCTAGCTTGATGGCAACTTTCCTTACAGTCTTGCCGAAGTTCCTTGCACTTCAGAACAAGAAAGGAATTAAGGTGGTGGCGTCCAAAACGAGTCTGGAGCGAAGAGAAAAAGCCAAACGTGGATGCATTTTATTTAAGATCAAGAGTGCAATGGTGTGAGATTGTATTATGCTCTCCACAGGAGCTGTATTTTTCTACTTCTGCAATAGGATGAAGGTGTTCAGTAGGACAGGGAATTACAAAAAAAGCCCCACTGGCCTCGTACCAACTGCATTTGATTCTTTCTTAAATAATGAGGCCATTTCATCCCTTAAGGATCCTAACATCTTATTTCCAAACACTTGTAAAAGCAGTAATTTTAAATGCTAACAATCATTTTTATTATTTATTGCTGAGGATTCATTCTGTGTTTTTTTTTTTCTCATTTATTTAAAGGATGGATGTTGCCATTTCTACATTGGCTCATGGCAAAATTTTAAGTCAAACAAATGCTTTTTAACACAACCTAAAGACATATCCTTATTTAGCTCTACATATTTGAGAACACAGGATGTTGAATGTTAGTACACATGGGTTGGACACAGCTGGGAGCAAGGCTTCAAGCAACTTTTCCTCCCTGAATAGCCAAAGACAGCGCAAAAGAAAATTTTCAGTGTGACTTATCCAATGAAAAGTAGACTATTGTACAAAAAGAAAGATAGCTTTTTTTTATTATTTTAATTTAAAATTTGCAAAGCTCTGGCTAACTTTCAGTTTCCCAGCCCTGGGGAGGCTTGGCTTGAGTTCTAGCCGAGTTCACGGAATGCCACTGGTATCACTCACCTTTACAAAGAGCAGTGTGCCTCTATTAATCAGTTTGTATGTATGTATTTAGTAAAGGTGGTTTACATGCAGGTCCACTTTCACTATTACATTTCTAGTATTGGCTCCACAAGGAAAAACATATGGGTAGATCCTTCTGCTTCTGCTTGTGCAGAGCTGCCCTGTCTTCAGCCATCCCTGACTTTATGCCTACACTACCATTCTCCATTAGCTACCACGTTTGCCTTCCAGCCTCAACCTCCCAGAAAATTCAGAGGACCCCAATTTTCTAGTGTTTTGAGTCTGGTGCACTCGTTTTCACAAGAACAGGTGTAAAATGCTACTTTCTCATATGGAAATGGTTTATTCCCACGTTTCAGGGGTATAAATGACTGCACTGAAGAATAAGGTCCAAGTCCTATAAAATAACATTATCTTTGCGCCAACGTAATCCAATTGTCAAGGTACTGTGATAACCTTAAAGCCATATCAAAATGAAGAAACTACTTAGGAACTTAAAAACATCTGCTCTCGTATCAGAGTGTATCAGCCCTAGAACACCCTTATATAGTCTTAATCAGTCCAGATATGACTCCTGTCTTTTACACTCAGAATGGCTTAATCTGCTTTTCCATGCTAAAATCAGGGTGCACAGATTCTGTGAGGAGGAAAAGCCTCTGTTATTTAAATTGCAGCAACCTGCTTCCATGCTTCCTATCTGCTTTCACCTAGAGACAGCAGAAAATCTCAGCTATGATATTTCAAAAAGACATCCACGTAACTTTTCATGGAACATGAAGTACACTGTTTTGTCTCTGGATAGGGTTGTCTATCCAGTTTCTTGTTAGCAGTTCCTCAAACTAAATGATAGAAATGTGTTACAGCAGAATGACTAAGAATCTTAAATGTAGTTTAGATACCGCGTATAGGTCTTATTAAGTAAAGGAGGAATGTGTTTATTTTTAGTAGAAGGTGGGTACAAAATCTGCAAGAAATGGAAAATGTTGATTAAATTAAATGTCGACTGGTCTTCTGTAAACTATTGCAGACATACAAAAGAAAGAAAGAAGATGAAGCCAGTTGCAAAAGTGAGGATACCTGCTTTTAGTTGTCCATGCTGAGCAAAAATTAAATTTTACAAGAATCTGTACAAAGTTTTAAGCTTTAATATTGCATTAAAGGCCTAAGCAACGCTCATCTATTGTACTACCATTAGTAACTCTTAGATTTCAATGAGATTACTCACATATATAAAATTAAGCATGATCTATCAGGACACACAGATGAATAAAGACAGTCACAAGGATGGATTTAAGAAGCAGGCTGGAACTTCATTAACACAATATTTTCACATGTCAGGCAGT